CAGTCAGTATTTAATACAGCTGGCAAAATAAATTGTTAAAATATGTATTATGTGCTTCTGTTTTTTAATTCAGGAGATTATAAAAAAAATCATTTATGGGAAGACCCTCTTGATTCAAGAGAAAACTCCATTCAAAAGAAATGGCTGCTTATTAATTAATTGTTAATCAATCTATAAGACAAATCAACTTCAGATTAATTCATTATCAATAACTTGCATCCTTATGAAGTTAACTTAATTTATATCTACTCATATTTATGTAATTAAGTGTTTTAATGATTTGGCCGATTAATCGAAAAAATAATCAACAAATTTATCGATWATTAAAGTAATCGTTAGTTGCAGCCCTAGCCTGGACTTTACCAACGGTTTCTTTGTTTTTTTCCTATTGACAATTTCAAAGGCCTATGTTAAGAGCTTTTGTATGTAGAAGACATTTTACAGATGCTCACAATTTATTTTTGTAACAGTGTCTTGTGCTGCATTTGTGCCTTTAACCAATCACTACACACACACACACACACACACACACACACACACACACACACACACGCACGTCTGAGGCTTTTATTTTACACTTACATCATCTGAAACAGATGCCATAAAGCTACATCACCATTGGTTTGTGGCTCATGATCTCAGTGTTCCTGCTAAAAACCTGTCAAATGAAGCATTTAAAATGTACTTTGAATTAGCCCAATCATGCTTTTTAGAGGTTCTTTCCTTTATTACCTTTATAATCTTTATATATAAATATTTTAAGTACTCTCCGACACATAAGTGGATCATCATAAAAACTTAAAAAGTAAAGCTTTTGTTTTGAGGTGTTTTTTAATCAATCAACCCTCCTATTTTATTTATTTGGCAGACTTCCCACCCCCTCCTCCTCCACTGGATGATTTGCCGGCCCCTCCTGCTGAATGCATTAACCCATCCTCTGACATCGCTCCCGCCTTCCCTGCTCCACCTCCCGTGGCAGATGACCTGCCCCTCCCTGCTCCCCCTCAGGAGAGTGCCTGTCTTCCCGCCTGTCCCGCTCCCCCTCCTCCTCCACCTCTTCCTGTSTCCAGCACCAGTTTTCCTAATGCTGCTGGGACCCCACAGGTGAGTCACAGACCTTTTAAACACTGSTGTCTGCATGATTCTGGTCTTTTTGCTGCATGTATCAGCACATTAAGACAATATTGTCTGACCAGGTGTTTACTCATTTTTTCCCTGTTTTTATCTTTTATGATGAAATTGACTTGACAGGGTTCTTGTTTCTAATAGGATTATTGTCTGTGTTTTTAGACATGAAACGTTCCCAGAAATGTTTGATCTAGCACTGACTCAAGCAGATTTAAGCTACAAATGAATTAGGTTTAAAGAATAAATATTACAGCGCATTAAAATAATAATAAAAACATGGATTGATGATGAAAGCAAGAGTATACATCATGTTTGAACAAAGTTTATGCTAAATGCTTTTTGATGAACAAACCAGAGGAGAGACGGCTCTCCTCTAACCAGGAAACAAAATGAAAAAAAAATCATTATTTCATCATCCTCAAATAAAGCTTTTGTCCATTACTGTCCTCAAAAATTGGCTTTTTTAACTTAGATTTTGCAGTTTGCAATAATGTTTTTTAATTGGGTGACATTTAATTTTGCAGTTTTAACTTTTAGTGAGTTTCTTTAGTTCTATTATTAATGTATGTACTTTCTGTGATTTACTTCCCTCTCCTGTCTTCCTCTGCTAGAGAACAATGGCAAAGCAGACCAGCTTTGACAAACAGCTTGATTCTCTGACTGACTTGTTGTCCGAGATGGAGACCAGGGGACCTTTTAATCCCAAGGTATGCAGCAAAACCAGTGAGGAATACACTGAAACAAAACGCCAGACATTCAGATCAATCCTTCATTTAAATCTGAAGAGAAACAGAAACAAAAGAAAATGTCGGTGGGTTTTGACTTCAGCAAAGATTTGAATCTAAAAGGGGGAGAAAAACAAGTAAAGTGAGGTTAGTTGGACATTGTTTGGAGACGTGCCAGGGTGGTTTCACAAGCCGCTCATCTGTTGAGGTTGAAAGCTCAATTGGAAGTGAAGTGCACACCAGACGGGAAGAGAAAACAAAAAAGTAAGGTTGCCGGTGATTCATGCTGTGAAAGGAGACGCGTGCAGAAAAGGAGAGCGATGCACACTGAAGCGAGTTGAGAGTGTGATCGAGCCAGAGCGCGCTGCCAGAGCTGCAGTGAAAGGGCCATAAATGGAGCGTTTTATCTGACTGGGAGGTACTGAATCAGAGCAGAATACCGTTGGCTCAAAACGGCAAAATAAATGTCAGAAAGACGGAGCACTTCTGATAAGCTCAGACTGCAGAGCACTTCCAGGTTTTACCTCAATCATTGTCCCACATTTAATAGAAAAGGTGTCTGCTTGCAGCATTTCAATAAGCAATGAAATTCATCTCTGGTGAATTATAGTTTTGGTAAAAGAAAATTAATTTAGCCCTGAATGAGTATTATCTGTGTTGCTCCTTTTGACGTGAATCATCTGTAAAGAGATTATTCTGTTATTTATCCACAGTTACCAAGCCAGCATTCAGCAGCACAGACACTCAGACCTTCAGCCCCTCCAACAGCTCCCAAACCAGCACTTTCCTTCCTCCCACCTCCTGAGATGGGAGACCGCCCTCCTCCTGCACCCTGGGCAGAAGAACTCAAAGCCAGAACAAACAGACAGCCCAACAACAGCTCTGCTCCAAACTCTGCTCCCGCTGTGGCTCCTAAGTCCAGCTTCGGAGGGAAATCCACGACATCATCTGCTTCACTGGCACAAAAAATCAACCAGAACCTGAACCAAACCAGCATCGCACCAAAGCCTTCCTTTCCCACAGCCACCAGCTCGTTCCCTCCTCCTCCTCCTGCAGCTCCACCTGCACCTCCTGCTCCGACAAATAACGTGACTACACCCCCAGTCCCTAATCATGTGAAGACTCCTCCTTTTGGGRGTCAGGTGAATGCGAACCCTTCTGCTGCTGTGCCGCCTCCTCCTCAACCCAAGACCATGATGACATCTCCACCCTCTTCCTTTACCCAGCCGATGAAAACCAGCCCTGCATCAACGGTGCCGTCCAACTTTTAGCTTCGCTTGTAACGTTAAAAAGCACAGACAGTGCAAAATATTTACTTGACAGAAAAAATCCCTTTTATATATGTAATGATGCATTTCTCTGTTTATTTTTGAACAGCCATCCCCTCCTGGCCCAGTTTCTATCCCAGGTGGTGGTGTCCCTCTAAACATGAGGGAAGTGGAAGAGCTGGAGAACATGACCAAGGAATTCATCAAAAACATGGACAGACATGCTCCTGTCATCACCTCCCCTCCAACGGGTACAAACATATTCGCACATATCTCACACATCGTCACTCGTGCAGTCAAACATGACTGACTGCAGACAGGCACAGGGACTGATAAACAGCCCAAACCTTAGGTTTGGGAAAGCTCTCATTGTCCTGACAAGAAATACTTTTAAGTACACTGGCTGGGGTGGGCACTGGGCACATCCTGCCCAACAACCACACAATGGTGATGGGACTCTATGACAATGGTCTGTGTGATGCCTGTGGCATTGAATTAGAGACCTCTTTGCACTACGTAGCCCACTGCCTGGCTCTGAGCAGTCAACGGAAAAGAAGCAGCAGCCGCTCCATACACTGAGGAGAAAATCATTAAATAAATCTTTTTTACACCACAATGATCTGTAGTAATGAAGACAAATGGTGTGTAGGTGTTGTTAATTACTGTCATTGAGAGGCTGCTAGTTTTTGCATCTTGAATAAGTGTTTCAGGAAGTTGTCAGTGTTATTTAGAGAAATTAAAGGTTAAAAAAAATTGACTGCCGGCAAATCACCTGCTAGAGTTCTAAAATAAGAGCATTTTATAAAAAAGGACAGCTGTTTTAATCAAACTCTGTAAACTTAAAATGTTATATTTGACTTTAYCTTTTGTGCAGAGGTTTGTGGGAAGTGTGGTGAGGCTCTGTCTCGTACTCAGCCTGCAGTGAGGGCCATGGATAAACTCTTCCACTCCAACTGCTTCTGTTGCATGAGCTGCCATCGCCCCCTGCAGGGCTTGCAGTTCTACGACAGGGACGGCTCGCCGCAGTGCGAGGACTGTTACATGGTGAGGAAACAAATGTTTGTGAAATATTTAGTGCATTTGTCAATGCAGAGTAGAAACATTTATTCTGAAGGAGACATTTTGGCTTTGATTTATTTTATCGACTCATCAACAACTTCTTCCAGCGAGCCACACTTCATTGTGTGAAACAAGCATTCAGATTTCTTCTACCTGCAAAGTGCTTAATATTTCTCTAACTTGTTTGGTCCTCAGAGTTCCCTGGCCGTGTGCTCTCGATGTGGGGAGAGAATCACGGACCGCGTGCTGAAGGCTGTGGGACAATGTTTCCACACTCACTGTTTCCGCTGCAGCACCTGCTCCTGCGTACTCGACGGGGCGCCCTTCATCACCGACGACAACAACAACCCATACTGTGTCCAGGATTACCACAGGTGGCAACTCACAAYGTGTTACGTCTCTGTTGGGTTCTTACAAAAGAGCAGGGATAAAAATATTTTTAAATATCTTTTCAATATGTCACAATAAGCTTGKTATTTACATCGTGACAGTTTTAGAGGTTTTGAGCTTAACTCTGTCCGGATTACAGAAATGAGTTGGAGGGAAGAGGCAGCTACAGCAGCACCTCTCCCTCCATTACTTTTAGCAGGCTCATGACCCACTGCCTGTGTGTCTGTTTGGATTCAAATTTGGTTTGAATGCAGCTGAAAGAGATTTCCAACACAAAACTCTGAGCTCAACGACATTCAGAGTTCATGATGTTGGTATAGATAATATTGTATACCCCTACCTCAGAGACCTAAAGGTTGGATGAAAAGTTTGTTCAGACAGCAGTCGCTTTTCATCAGATGTTTCTGATTTAGTACTACATATTAAAGTGACCTGACCTTCTATGGAAAAAGAATAAATGTTTTGTTGTGTTTAAACTGTCATAATAAACATGATATGAATTGCATTTAGGCCAAAAACACAGATTTGACTTGATTGCAAAAAAAAAAGTGTAAATGACTATTGGACTATTGAAGATGTTACGCTGTCTTATTGTGTATTTGTGATGTAATATGTCTTAAGTTATTGCGTCTGATGTGTAATTATTACTGTAATGACGTAATAATTAGAGGCCGGAATGTGGTGAATAGGCAGATACTGAGGTCACATGGTGTTAATAGTAATTTAAGATCAGCTGTTGGCTCACGGTGATGATTTTGTCATCCCTTCTGAGTGGGTGATGGGGGAAGTCAAACTTTTGCTGACCGCCTTTAAGCCTTGGGAACTTTGTGCTTAAAATTGATACTTTGGCCCTCGATTGCTTGTTTCTCACTGCCTTGGAATATGGACGCTTGTTTTTGCCATGGATCTTTGAGGATTAATGCCATTAAAGGAGCTTGAATTGCAGCTTGGATTTTTTCTTCCTTTTGAACAACGGGCGCGTCAACAGCTTCCTCCACTCAGCTGCTCGGCAACTCAGATGTTGACAGTTGGCAATAGTCACTTTTACATGTAATGTGAAAATAGCCTCAGTAAAATTTTCTGATATTGAGCTTGGGTGTGGCAGAAGCAGATGTTATCTCCAACATAAACCCTTAGCAATAAAAATCCTGCAAGATTTTACAGGTTTACAAAGTTTGACTAAAATAGCTATAACTCCATTCTTGTCATTTAAAACGTTTGGCGTGAAATACTGTTAGGGATATGTGTTCCTCTAAAGAAATCTAGACCTTTTAATTATTTTAGATGTTAGAAAACCACATAGATTCAGTCTTGTGAAATGCTAATGCCCTCTCCTCCTCCCTGTTGCAGGCGTTTCTCTCCTCTGTGTGTGAGCTGTAATGAACCCATTGTTCCCGCACCGGGCAGCGAGGACACGGTCCGAGTGGTGGCCCTGGACAAAAACTTCCACCTCAAGTGTTACCGCTGTGAGGTGGGAAACTCAGCCACTGGCATCATATCTGAATTCAAACCCAGAAAGCATCAACAAATGTCTTTCATTTTACTTCGCAGGACTGCGCTCGGCCTCTCTCCATCGAGGCAGATGAAAACGGCTGCTACCCACTGGATGGCAGGATCCTGTGTATGAAGTGCCACACCAAACGAGCCAAGCAGGCTGCGCAGTGATTGGCTGCTGCAGCGACACTCAGATCAAACATGAACCAAAAGCACAGGATTTACTCAGCTGCATATTTGCCTTTGCAACAGGGCTTTATTCAGTAAATGTGTGTTTGTGTGTACAAGAGAGAGTGTGCATTGTGGAGTAAGTACGTCTGCATGCAGCGTAGTGTCCCTCTTGTGTTTGTCCTCTTTAATCAGTGCAGAGGTAATGTACTGCACTGAGCTAAACTCTCTTTCAGTTATTATTCCAGACGTTCCAATCTCCCTCTTGTAGCATAGATTTTGTGCCAAATCAAAGTTTACGCTTAAATTACAGCATAACTTGCACAAGAGCCATCTGATAAAGTTGCCTTTCTTTGTATCTTGCCTAAATAATGTAAATAGGACCAAGAACTGAAAATTTCRCACACAGACAGTAGTATCAACAGGTTAAAACCTCCATCGTCACACGTTTTAAACCACTTTGGTTCAAGACTTTGTCAAATGTTGTGCCTGCAAATGTGGCTGTCGATGCTTTCCTGCCTAGAAAAGTGCTTTAAATCACCTCTGATTGCGTATTAAAGTCATCAAGGCCTGCAATGCAACTGCAAAAAAAAAATTTAAATAAGAATAAACAAAGATGAACAAATAGTGAATGTTGCTGTTAGTTTCTGTGATGTGAATTTCTCGATTTCCAGGCATGCGTTTGAATGGACGTCCTCTCGTTTTCTCTGTATTAAGGCAAATTTAAAACAATCTGCCATTCCTTAAAGTTAATGTAGAGCTGATTTAAACAGTATTTTTAGATGCATGTCTTTTTATTGCAGAAATGCTGAGCAAACGAAACGAGCACAGATTCCTTTTCTTGGGATCTCGTTTTGAAAACAGATCAGTTCCCTCAGCAGCAAGGCTGAAAACAGGACTTGTTATGTGATCTTGCACAGTGCCATATTGAATTAAAGTTAAAAAAATAAAATTAATATTGAATTAAAGTTTTAAAAAATAAAAGTAATAAGTATTTTAGTGTCACTTTAAGGCTAAACAATTCCTGCACATATTTAAAAAAATAGAAACATGGTAGTAGGTATTTCTATCAATCTTTTCCTTAAAAAAAGGTAATTTATGGATCTACTGTTAAAAGTATTAAAACTATGCGTGTACCTGAACTCTAACGGCCTGTCTTGGTTATAGAATATRATCGTTCAGTTGCAGGTATTAAAACAGTGACCAAATGTAAGCAGATGAAAACGTCAAGCTGTAACGTATTTTCTTTTTTATTATTATTGTGAATACCACTACTCATTTCATTATTCAACCATTGTACTTGAGTTTCTTCATATCAGTTATTTACCACTTTATCCTAACTTCTGTACTGTATTTCACTCACATGTATTTTCATTTTAACCTGACGTTACTGTGTTGTACTGCTCTTTACTTAGGTTCTCAGTCTTGTTACTTGCTTTGACAGAACGACCAACGAAACACGACTGTAGTGATGCATGCTTTACTTCTAGTATTATGTCCTCTGTAGTATGCACCACCTTTATGTCTTTACCATCACTGTGTATTTTAGATATGACGATATCACACATTGTACATTGTTGTCTGAAATGTGGTTGCCTTGTCTTTTCTTAAAACCTTGTTTTATACATTTGTTACATGTGGATGTGTTAAAACATCATTTAGTCCTTCCTTTTTCTGATTGAATCGAAAAGCTCAAATTAAAGACAATTACTAATTAAACAACTGTTTTGGATGCTCTGAGTTTCTTTGTGTGTGTGTGTTTATCTCAGACAGGTTTTTTTATGTTAGCCCCTGTGTGACGACAGTGAAAGTTGTTTTCTCTCAGACTCTCGTCGACACACCAAAGGCTTCTCTATCAGTGGTTAGCAGCCATGTGTGGTGCTGATAGTGACGTAGTGACGATAGCTGATGTGTGTGTAGATCCTTTCTAGGAAGAAGACACCCCCTCTCCCACCAAGTAGCACCAAAGCAAAGTGTTAACTCACCAGTCCCAGCCATAAGTTTGAATGCACAGAGAAGAAGTCTTTATGAGTTCAGCCGCCTCAAATCGTCCTCATCTAAAGAAATCAGACCGTTAGTCCATCCTTTCTTCATGTTTCCAACAGGAGGGAAAGAGTAAACCTGCAGTTTTTTTTTTATCAGAGTTTCAGACAAGAAAAAATGCAAGAGATGGACAGTGATACAGAGCAGAGATGACCCACAGTTTGACACAGAGGCAGCAGGAGGACGTGAAAAGACACTGGAGATGGCATACAAACAAAACACAGCAAGAATGAGTCAAACTTCAGTAGAGCTTGAGGTAAGGTCTTAAAAACCAGACGTTAAACTATAGTTCAGCTGTGTTCACACTTAGTTTTAAACATTTATGTTTCTTGGAAATTATTAATGTCAGGTTTCAGATCAGCAGTTTGCATAAAATATATGTTTAAGGCCAATTTAATGAGTATTTCATTTTTAGTTGATTTTTAAAAACAGCATTTACAGGACACTGACAACTTGAAAATTGTAACTGAAACAAATTCAATGCAATGATTTGAAACTTGTTTTGTGGAAAATGATTCAGTTTAAATAGGATTTTTTTTGAAAATGTACATTCTTTTGACTGAGGGAGGAGGGATCTTTTAGAACCACCTGTACAGAACAAGAACACTAAAGAAAAACCACTCGTGTGTTTGCTCATTAAAAAAGCTGTTTTATCTTGTTTTGCAGCTGTGGTGCATTTTTTTTTGACCAAAGGAAAATCACTTTTATGGCCATTATTTTTAAAATTATTTAGCTGAATATATTCTGAAAGCTGAAATAAATGGTGTGTTATTCTGTGGTTACATCAACATAAACTCATCTGTGTTGACAATTTACTGTTTTGGGTGTATTCAAAGGTTTAAATGAGGAAACAGTCTTTAAATACATTACTAAAGCCTTCATTTCAAAGGTTCAGTTTGATGGTCTGTTTTTTTGGTCTTTTGACATATTTCTGGCTTCTTTAACTTTACTGATATTCTAAATCAAATAGTTTTAGCATGTTTTTACAGYGTTTTTGAGCAATCTTATTTCATTATAATCATATTCACTGTWTATTCACTTTTAGTCATACTGTTGCTTTGTATACTCAAAAAAAAAAGATTTGTTGAATTTACTTAAAGTGGTTCAAGTGGTTCCACTCAAGCAAGTTGAGTAAAGGTAACAAGATTTACACAAGTAATGCAAGTAAATCTTGTTACATTTACTCAACCAAACTGTACTGTAGGAGGAAGTTGTATGAAAAATGTGYGGTACAGGACATGTTGGACAATGACACAGTGGTGAGATGTGTGGTAGGAGTGACAGATTTCATCAGACACCTGTTTGCAGAGGTGATGAAGGGGTGGACAGTGTAAAGTTGGGGTCACCATGAACAATGATAGACAGCATGGTGGTCTGCAGTGAGAATAGGGAGCAGGTGGAAGAGTAAAGAATAAAAWTGAGAAACAAGTCAGATATTTTATTGCTTCAACATATTCTTTATTGAGGTTTTGAATATTTTTATTATCAATGTGCAATGATCTTGTTTCACTGATTTTTACTGTTTGTAGACTGTTTCTGAGTTAGCAACAAGTCTTTTTAGTTAAAATACACCTTGCACCAAACACAAACCTAAAGTTTTATTRTCGTAGCGTTGCCTGTCTGAGAGTCAAGTCACCTGATAGGAAAGTGAACTTCCTTATTTACCATCATATCATGACTTGACTTAATTCCAAGTGATTGGCTCAGCGCTGTGAGGTGGTAACTTTACATATACAAGTCTGATAACTGAACTGGTCTCCTGCTTTAATTCAGGCTCTCCACTGAACATATTTCTTTCACAAGGCAGAAAACATGAATGAGAGGGAGACAWGGTGGGACAATGAAGCTGTAAAAAACAGAGACCTTAGAAGAAAACTAACCTGTTTCTTTCTACTGTACATTACAGCCCTCAGTAATTTACTAAATTAGTCCCTGGTTTTGACTGAGCCGCTCGTTTTCTTTGCACAGATCCTGCCTAAACTGTCGCTTCAGCCACCGTCACAATCAGAACCTGAGAGGAGTTCTCCTCAGCCTCCACATTTATCACAGCTTCCACCCTCTGCTCAAGATACCCATCAGCAACAGAACCAAGTCCATCCTGCTCGACAACAAGAGCAACCGTCGACCCTCGAGCACCAAGAAAAGCCGCTGTGGATAAAACATCAGCGAGTGCTTCTCCTCATTTTAGTATTGACTATCTGCGCTGCTATTGTAGGACTTTTCTACTACTTTCACAGTCTCCGCAGGAACAGTACAGCCACGGGTAGGCCTGTAAAAACATACATCAGTGTGAGGACAGTAAAGCCACAGCTCTGTCATTTAGTGTAACTCTTTTCTTTGTTTTCTTTAGTGAGCCCGTGTCTGTCCCCGGCCTGTCAGTGGGCCGAAGCACGTCTGTCCACGTCTCCTGATCCCTTCACTCAGCCCTGTGATCAGTTCTCGTCCAAATGTGGATCTAGATCATCACATAAGAGCGGGGGCAGACAAAGAGGTGAGGGTATACCAGGCCATCCACAAAACTGGATGGAAAAGTCAGCTTGGCCAGAGACGCAAAGTGAGGAAACAATAAACAGAAGGCCGGTGGAGGACAAAATCCTGAGCCGAAAAACTGCACTGCTGCAGAACCTCAGGAAGATTTTAGGTAAGATGGTTCCATCTGGATGTAGGTGGGAAAATCTTGGTGAAACATTTCCACACTCCTCTGTACCTTGACCAGAGATGAACCCACACCACATAAGAACAAATACAATGGCTTTGGAAAACCTATGATTTAATATTTGTTTTCTGTCACTCGGTTAGAGACCAACAAGCAATCAAACAGTTCAGCCATTCAGAAGACTCAAGACTTCTATCATTCCTGTATGGACACGAGATCAATAGAAACCACAGGAGCAGAGCCCTTCCTCAAACTCATCCAAACGGTATCGTGACCTCAATGAACATTTTCATGGACTAAAGTTTCCAAAACTGGTTGTCAAAGGTTTTCTTTTACTATAGAATCTGGATGGTGGCATAGTGCTCATGAGTCACACTATATATATATATATATAT